TTGTATAGATGAGCTCAGAAAAAAATATTCTTTAAAAAATCCACGCCTTGTATAGATGAGCTCAGAAAAAAATATTCTTTAAAAAATCCACGCCTTGTATAGATGAGCTCAGAAAAAAATATTCTTTAAAAAATCCACGCCTTGTATAGATGAGCTCAGAAAAAAATATTCTTTAAAAAATCCACGCCTTGTATAGATGAGCTCAGAAAAAAATATTCTTTAAAAAATCCACGCCTTGTATAGATGAGCTCAGAAAAAAATATTCTTTAAAAAATCCACGCCTTGTATAGATGAGCTCAGAAAAAAATATTCTTTAAAAAATCCACGCCTTGTATAGATGAGCTCAGAAAAAAATATTCTTTAAAAAATCCACGCCTTGTATAGATGAGCTCAGAAAAAAATATTCTTTAAAAAATCCACGCCTTGTATAGATGAGCTCAGAAAAAAATATTCTTTAAAAAATCCACGCCTTGTATAGATGAGCTCAGAAAAAAATATTCTTTAAAAAATCCACGCCTTGTATAGATGAGCTCAGAAAAAAATATTCTTTAAAAAATCCACGCCTTGTATAGATGAGCTCAGAAAAAAATATTCTTTAAAAAATCCACGCCTTGTATAGATGAGCTCAGAAAAAAATATTCTTTAAAAAATCCACGCCTTGTATAGATGAGCTCAGAAAAAAAATATTCTTTAAAAAATCCACGCCTTGTATAGATGAGCTCAGAAAAAAATATTCTTTAAAAAATCCACGCCTTGTATAGATGAGCTCAGAAAAAAAATATTCTTTAAAAAATCCACGCCTTGTATAGATGAGCTCAAAAAAAAAATATTCTTTAAAAAATCCACGCCTTGTATAGATGAGCTCAGAAAAAAATATTCTTTAAAAAATCCACGCCTTGTATAGATGAGCTCAGAAAAAAATATTCTTTAAAAAATCCACGCCTTGTATAGATGAGCTCAGAAAAAAATATTCTTTAAAAAATCCACGCCTTGTATAGATGAGCTCAGAAAAAAAATATTCTTTAAAAAATCCACGCCTTGTATAGATGGCTGACTTGAAAAAATATTCTTTAAAAAATCCACGCCTTGTATAGATGACCCTAGAAAAATATTCTTTAAAAAATCCACGCCTTGTATAGATGACCCTAGAAAAATATTCTTTAAAAAATCCACGCCTTATATAGACCCTAGAAAAATATTCTTTAAAAAAATCCACGCCTTGTATAGATGACCCTAGAAAAATATTCTTTAAAAAAATCCACGCCTTGTATAGATGACCCTAGAAAAATATTCTTTAAAAAAATCCACGCCTTGTATAGATGACCCTAGAAAAATATTCTTTAAAAAAATCCACGCCTTGTATAGATGGATGACCTCAGAAAAATATTCTTTAAAAAATCCACGCCTTGTATAGATGGATGACTTTAAAAAATCCACGCCTTGTATGAGAAAAAATATTCTTTAAAAAATCCACGCCTTGTATAGATGGATGACCTCAGAAAAATATTCTTTAAAAAATCCACGCCTTGTATAGATGGATGACCTCAGAAAAATATTCTTTAAAAAATCCACGCCTTGTATAGATGGATGACCTGAGAAAAATATTCTTTAAAAAATCCACGCCTTGTATAGAAAAATCCACGGATGATGAGCTGAGAAAAATATTCTTTAAAAAATCCACGCCTTGTATAGATGGATGACCTGAGAAAAATATTCTTTAAAAAATCCACGCCTTGTATAGATGGATGACCTGAGAAAAATATTCTTTAAAAAATCCACGCCTTGTATAGATGGATGACCTGAGAAAAATATTCTTTAAAAAATCCACGCCTTGTATAGATGGATGACCTGAGAAAAATATTCTTTAAAAAATCCACGCCTTGTATAGATGGATGACCTGAGAAAAATATTCTTTAAAAAATCCACGCCTTGTATAGATGGATGACCTGAGAAAAATATTCTTTAAAAAATCCACGCCTTGTATAGATGGATGACCTGAGAAAAATATTCTTTAAAAAATCCACGCCTTGTATAGATGGATGACCTGAGAAAAATATTCTTTAAAAAATCCACGCCTTGTATAGATGACCTGAGAAAAATATTCTTTAAAAAATCCACGCCTTGTATAGATGACCTGAGAAAAATATTCTTTAAAAAATCCACGCCTTGTATAGATGACCTGAGAAAAATATTCTTTAAAAAATCCACGCCTTGTATAGATGACCTGAGAAAAATATTCTTTAAAAAATCCACGCCTTGTATAGATGACCTGAGAAAAATTTAAAAAATCCACGCCTTGTAAAAAATATTCCACGCCTTGTATAGATGACCTGAGAAAAATATTCTTTAAAAAATCCACGCCTTGTATAGATGACCTGAGAAAAATATTCTTTAAAAAATCCACGCCTTGTATAGATGACCTGAGAAAAATATTCTTTAAAAAATCCACGCCTTGTATAGATGACCTGAGAAAAATATTCTTTAAAAAATCCACGCCTTGTATAGATGACCTGAGAAAAATATTCTTAAAAAAATCCACGCCTTGTATAGATGACCTGAGAAAAATATTCTTTAAAAAATCCACGCCTTGTATAGATGACCTGAGAAAAATATTCTTTAAAAAATCCACGCCTTGTATAGATGACCTGAGAAAAATATTCTTTAAAAAATCCACGCCTTGTATAGATGACCTGAGAAAAATATTCTTTAAAAAATCCACGCCTTGTATAGATGACCTGAGAAAAATATTCTTTAAAAAATCCACGCCTTGTATAGATGACCTGAGAAAAATATTCTTTAAAAAATCCACGCCTTGTATAGATGACCTGAGAAAAATATTCTTTAAAAAATCCACGCCTTGTATAGATGACCTGAGAAAAATATTCTTTAAAAAATCCACGCCTTGTATAGATGACCTGAGAAAAATATTCTTTAAAAAATCCACGCCTTGTATAGATGACCTGAGAAAAATATTCTTTAAAAAATCCACGCCTTGTATAGATGACCTGAGAAAAATATTCTTTAAAAAATCCACGCCTTGTATAGATGACCTGAGAAAAATATTCTTTAAAAAATCCACGCCTTGTATAGATGACCTGAGAAAAATATTCTTTAAAAAATCCACGCCTTGTATAGATGACCTGAGAAAAATATTCTTTAAAAAATCCACGCCTTATATAGAAGACCCTAGAAAAATATTCTTTAAAAAATCCACGCCTTTAAAAAATCCACGCCTTGTATAGAAGACCCTAGAAAAATATTCTTTAAAAAAATCCACGCCTTATATAGAAGACCCTAGACAAATATTCTTTAAAAAATCCACGCCTTGTATAGAAGACCCTAGACAAATATTCTTTAAAAAATCCACGCCTTATATAGAAGACCCTAGACAAATATTCTTTAAAAAATCCACGCCTTGTATAGAAGACCCTAGAAAAATATTCTTTAAAAAATCCACGCCTTGTATAGAAGACCCTAGAAAAATATTCTTTAAAAAATCCACGCCTTATATAGAAGACCCTAGAAAAATATTCTTTAAAAAATCCACGCCTTATATAGAAGACCCTAGAAAAATATTTTTTAAAAAATCCACGCCTTATATAGATGAGCTCAGAAAAAAATTTTCTTTAAAAAAGAAGAATTTTCTTTAAAAAATCCACGCCTTGTATAGATGAGCTCTGAAAAAAATTTCCTTTAAAAACTCCACGCCTTGTATAGATGAGCTCAGAGCAAAATTTTGTTTAAAAAATCCACGTCTTGTATAGATGAGCTCAGAAAAAATTTTCTTTAAAAAATCCACGCCTTGTATAGATGAGCTCAGAAAATATTCTTTAAAAAATCCACGCCTTGTATAGATGGGTGACCTGAAAAAAATATTCTTTAGAAATAAACTGATCGGAACTTTTAAATATTTAAGCTATTTTCTTACAACCATTTGAAAAGCTGTTATACTGCTTAGCCAAATATGCTCTAGACCATTTTTTGCGATTCAACATTAGCATGATATATTGCGATTTTAAAAGCGTAGGATTTACTTGTTGAATTTGACATTCTCTTAGATGCCATAACAAGTGGTATTCGTATTATTTATTTATTTTTGTTTGTAATTTTTTTATTGTTGTTATTGCAAAACTTGTTTTTATATACAACACGATTTTTGTTATTGTTGTTTTTTTTGTTCTCCTCTAACAGATTTGGTGCCGGTCTCCTCTACAGTCATACCATTAACGGCCGTTGAAGTCAGCTATGGTTTGGGTGGTAAACCAAGCGAAGAATACAAAGAGGCCTACTTGAAAAAATTGCGCAAAAAAGTTCATGAACACGATAAAAGTGCAAGTGAGAAGCTAGCCGATCCGGATACATTAATAACCAGTAAGTGTGTGTGGCAGTAGCCAAATGATTTATTTGAATATTTTTTTGTTAAACGCAAAATAAATCTGAAGTACATCTCAAAAAATATGTAAAACCTCCATTCAAGTGCTACAGATAATCTCTTAATATTGAATTATTGCGAATTCTAAAAAAATACCTTATAAGTGGCCACTTTTAAGTGGCTAATATTGCCTAGAAGCCACTCAAGTGGTGGATTATTCATAGCCCGCCAATAGAGAGGAATTACAAATCTATGGAGTGTAGCTTTGCAAAAATATGGAGATGTTTTTTTTTATTTGGAAATTAAAGTAACCACGCAAATTCATCCAAATTTGGTTACTGTTTTGAAACACTTCGTAAAGAGTTTGGAAATCTTTTGTGTTGATGATTCTACTGTTGTTTTTGGGTTTAAAATCATTAATAGTTGTTGTTGCTATTGTTAGGTTTTGGTTGATTGACCTATTCGAGCCATCATGCATACATTGCAACCACGTAAGTTGCCGTTATAAGCCATTTAGTTTCTTTGCTATGATTTGCTTGAGTTGTTGTTATTGTCAAGATGATGTCATTAAAAACAATTTGTTTGGATTAGCTAATTTGCAAAACTAAACTATTGCGAACTAATAGCTTAAGTAGTGACGGCTGTGAAAATTTACGATATGTTTGACAAATCGGGAATCAAATATTGTGAATAATAGGGTCTTGATGAGTTATAAGTACATTTTGGACTTGTTGGTAACAAGTCATTATTTTGCCGACGTCTCTGCTATTAGATTTTTTCCGAGATTCTCTAAAGTTATTTTCCGAGTAATCTGCATAAACTCTGACGTTTAATTGTATAAATTTTGGTAATAAAAATCTCATTTATGTAGACAATTCCGATTACTTTCCTAGTAATCTGCAATCAGTCAAAAGGACAATTTGAAAACGTGAATCGAAAAAATAAAATGTGTGAAAAAATATTACTGAAAAATACCGACACAGTGGATAAATATTATGTCCTCGCATGAAGTAAAGTTTAAGATTAAAGGCACAGACACGAAAAAAATTACTGTGAGAAAGTCAAAAAAATGAAAGGCTCAAGCTTCAGTATTGCAAGGGTACTGGGAAGCATGCAGGTGGGTCAATAATGATATGGGGCTATTTTTCTTTTAATGGAGTTTGTGAAGTAATACATCGGATTGTTTATATAAATGTGTTGAAAATGCTTTGGTTCCCTTCGCTGAAGAAATTATATCGCCTGTTATGTTGTTTCAGATTGACAAACCTTTTATAATGGCCAACGAAATCAAAACAAATTCAGAAACAAACATAACATCTTCCCGAAGGTTCTGGATGCGAGATGTAGTATATCCAAGGATCAAATTGAGCGCTTTATATATTCAATTCCTCGCAGGTGTGCTGCCGTAATAAAAAAAAAATGGTTAAATTAACTTTAAATTTAAAATTAAATTTATTTAAAAGAAACCAATAAGGGATGTTCAAAAGTCGGACGATGCCGATTATATGGTACACTTCACCACTTTGGGTAAATACAAGAGATGCTCATATGTATAATATCCTGTAGATAGAATAGACATAGCATAGTAAATTGAATCTGAATCATTTGTATGAAATCGAGCAAAATATGTATAATATCAATATAAAAATGGAAGAATTTGAGCAACCTTGGTATCCTCACCATTTGGTTTCGTGCAACACAGTGCGCTATCCAACATTTTTCTCGACACAAAATCCAACACTCATTATTCAAGGTTCCATTTGGTACGTTGTGCACTAATTCGTCCTAATCGCACAAACGTTAGTTATTTGGTACACCATTTAGATGAAATCGGATGAAAATGTATGGAAACTATATCTAAACCTGCGGACTAAATCGGACAAAAATAAATGAGAGATTTCTGTACAGATTTCAACAACATAATATCGTGCAAATAGAATACGAACGATGATGTGAGCTATATTTAAATCTGAACCGATTTCAAACTTAACAAAAAGCATTCTTGACTAAATTCCATACCCGCTGCTAAATTTCGTGAATATAGAACGAACAGAAGGTCCTCGGTGCTCCATTTACATATAATCTGAACCGATTCCAACAAAACTTAGCATACATCAATTAGGACATAATTAAGTACACTGTGCAAACTGTTGTCTCAATCGGACAGATATTGGCAGTATGTTGTTCCATTTTCTTAAAATCGGACGAAAATATATATGGGAGCTATATCTAAATCTGAACCGATTCAAACAAAATTTCACGGAAGTCAACATGCAGAAACTTCAAAACGCTATGCAAACTTTTGTCTCAATCGGACAAATCTAAATCTGAATCGATTTCAACAACACTTCGCATATATCAATCAGAACCTAATTCAGTACTCTGTGCAAATCGGACAAATATTGGCAGTATGGTATTCCATTTACATAAAATTGGACGAAACTATATATAGGAGCTATACAAAATTTGAAGCGATTTTCTCCAATTTCATAGGGTTCGTCCTTGGGCCAAATAAGTGACATGGTCCAAATTTCATCTAAATCGGATTATAAATGCGACTTGTAATACATGGACAGATGGATATGAATAAATCGACTCAGAAAGTGAGTCGATGCATATTTTTAAAAGGAACAAGGGGTCTATCTTGATTCCTTTTGCCTGTTAAAAACATATGTACAAAGATATAATACCCTATACCATATAGTGGTGAAGTGTATAAAAACGTGCCCAAAATCTACAAAATACCGAATAATGGGGTTATTGCTCTATGTGAAATATCAGGAAATAAGAATCAAAATAGATATTTTTGGTAGGAATTTTTTCTACCTAATGGGAATTCAAAATATCAAATTGATGCCAAACCGATTGCAAAAAGTGCTTATCAAAATTCCGAACATTGGAGGGTACCGTTATATGGGGCTATCCTATAAATAGACCCAATTTCAAAAGGAAGATTTCTAATTAAATATATATTATGGTGAACATTTCGAGGATTTGCAAATGGAATGGAAAAAATGTGAATATTTATTATCTGAAAAATGGTTTCTGAACGGTTAATCAGCATCTTCAGGTGACAAAAATTGTGGAAAGAAAGTAGTCCTTGGGCGCCAAATCAGGGCTGGTCGGTAAATGATACCATCAATTCTACATTTTAACCGGTTAAAATCAAGCTTTTTTCATCCGATGTGTGATAGCACCTTCTTCCACGAATAACTTCATGTAAAAATTGAGAAATTTAATCCAAAAGTTAAATTATTTTTTTCCTAAATTAAAATGTTTCAAATCATAAGAAACACGTCATACTGTGCTGAGTACGTTCATACTTAAAATGTTCCAATTTTTTAGTAGAAATGTCAGATAGCGTCGGACAACACAGAAATAAATATAGAAGCCCTAGTACACTTCTTGTAAAGCTTCCAATATAAAAGAGATTTTAGCTAAATTGGGGGAGATGTTAGCTAACCATAGGAGCAATTGTATGCGTGGGGATTTATTATCCTTCGCTACAACAAAAATCTGATTTTAAAAGGTCGGTTTCTAGAGTGACGACTAATGTCGGACCTTGATAAATTTGAATTTAATTCACAGATTGAACTTAGCGATCGTTGTAAAGACACATAACCCAATATGCCTGATGAGCCGTTTAACCAACGTCGAATGATGGATTTCCTTTTCATGGCATTAGGCTCGACTCGAAAGAGCTTTGCCTTACAGGCAAAACTCAAATAAATAATTTGACATTTTTTATTGAGTAACAAATTTCCTTACGATAATTTATTATTTGTTCGGTACTTTTCTTTTCAAATTTGCCCAACCAAATTCTAGTAAAAATTTGGCATTTGGGTTTTTAATTATCATTAAAATCTAATATTTTCAAATCTGATGAATTTTCATTTCAATTTTAGACTAATAGACTATAGCTTCTCAGTTTTGCATTCGACCAGATTAGTGATCAACGAATATTATGTATTTATTCAGATATGCAAAATTTATAGCAAACAAACAACATTGTTATAAATATTATTAATATTTGGCACATTCGTTGATATGTCAACAATGAATTTGAAATTCTAATCCATTAGTATTTTCTTCTCCAAAAAAAATGTAAAAATGTCACTCTAATTTCATTACACATCGACAAATATAGTTGTTTCCCCACCCCAAAAAATATATATTTATGTTACGCTGTGATGACGATGACCTTCCTTCCATCCTCTGCCATTCCCATTTCGATGAAGTACAAACATAAATTTCGACAAATTGCATGAGACCGGAGAAAGAGTATAAAGTGCAGTCGAGCCGAACATTTCACATTCATTTGACGACATACACACTGACACGCAAAACGACAATGTTTCACCAAAAAATATTTCGTTTTGCATTCAAAGTTAAAAGGAAAAAAAGAAAAACAAAAATGATTACATTTTAGCTTTTGAATTTGAATGTGAAAATCTAATAAACATCCATAGCTAGAGATGAAGTTCATTTACATTTTTTGTAGTTGTTGTTGCGTAAATTAAATGTGAAACGAACAAACAGACAGACAAATTTACAATTGCAATAACAAAATGCTACTTCATGGTGTGCTAGATATTGGAATAACGACAACAAAAATTAAAACAACTAAAAGAGAGGTGATAGACAAAACGTCAGCAAATGGAATGTAATCGAATGGAAAAAGTAATGGGTGTGTAACCTTGTAAGTGGTGGCAGAGATCAACAACACCATTTCGAAACAAATTTTGTATTTTGAAACAAAACTTTTGAGAAATTTAGGTTTTATATTAAGAAGTGCTACATTGGAAGAACATTTTATTTTTTCGGGATAAATGATCGAATATTTATCTTATAATAAAAAAGAAGGTATGTCGTTAATAACAAAAACAAAATCAGAACCAGTAAGGAAAGTAGTATAGTCGGACTGGGCCGATCTATGATACCCTTCACCACTTTGGGTATATTCAACATATGTATCCGAAAAGACGTCGCTGTACTGTTT